GCCCCTCCAGGTCGGTCCGAGCTGCGCACCGGCTGACAACTCCCGTTGGATACTTGGTCCGGGCACACGGGAAGCTGGAGATGGAAACCATGGCCGCCAGCTGGAGAGGAAGATGCAGCGCGCAGAGCTTTAAGCTTCACCAGCTGACCAGCAGGGGGGGAGGAGGGGGTGGGGGTCCAGAGGTACGCTCCTATTTTTCCAAATAAGCGACATCGGTGACAGAAAAAAGAAGATCCAAAAGTTGTTGTCTGTGTAGCAGCATAAATGGTGTGCTGCCACTTTAACATGGTCAATTGCGGCTTCTGTATAAAAGCACGTCACTCCCGTCTGTGTACACGGCGTTTGTCACGACGTCTGCTTGCTTCTGCTACAGATAACATTCTCCGGTAAGCGTGGCTAATGTTTGTTTTTCTTTGTTGCAGTAGTTTGCCTTTAGCTGCTAATACAAACTGGTTTGTTTTCTTAACGTTCAGTCTAGCCTCTCCTGGGTATAAGACCGGTCTGTCTGTTGTGTGCCCAATTTATGGCTTGAAGGTAAGGGTTAGCCTAGCCTGCTACCGCTTACCCGTTACTGTAAACAAATGCTTATTAGACAGTGTTCTGTTACAGCTGCATGATCCAATTCATACAGCAACTCTATTATAAGATTGTGCTGTAATATACAAATTTGCAGGTAGGCAATATGAGATTCTGTAAATTCTGCTGTCAATGGTTGAGTTTAATAGTGACGATCTGCTCCATTTTTTTTAGTTTTCAGATGAGCCTTCTCCTGCTGTTCAGCTGGATTCTGCTCGCTGCTGTTTTGCCTAGAGGAAAAAATATAAAACTAACTCGGGCCCTTGCCCTACTGGCTGAGGCTTTGATTTTAGTGAACCGAGTGCACCACTTAATTTGTTTTTATGAAATATTGTGACGTGGCTGTTTCATTAAGGCTGTTTGTTCATTTTTATTTTTCAGGGACTGAGACTTCGTGTGGTGGCGGTGGTGACCCCTGGTGGCGGTGTATCGCTTTGTGTGTGGAACACTCCTTTTCCCTTTTGTAGTTTAGGTGATTCCTCTTTCTTCACTGGATGTGGTCTCCTTGTCTTTACAGCCCCCCTCCCCACTAGTAAGCCTCAGTCTCACCTGATATTTTAGTGGGTTTTTTTAACTCCAGCACAGCTGTGTTAAACAATTGAATGCAGTCAACAATTTTCTGGTATTGCATATTTTAAAATACTTTTTGAATACTTTTAACGTGCAAATTACTCCCACAATAAATTTGGTAAAGTTTATTTGAATCTTGTCTCCTTCCTCCAGTAGAACAAATTTACGTGTCCTTTTATTTCCTGGAGTATAATCCCAGGTGGCATTGTTGGTTTTCACTCATTGCAAATTGACTAAAGAATTAACATTTTCCATTATAACGTTCATATTCATTAAAAAAAAAAAAAGATAACCACTCCCTCAGTATTACATCTGTCATACACCAGCAGAGAGTTGATGTCACAGATGAGAAATGCAAAAAACAAAAAATAATCCGAACACCATCAGCAGAGGTGGATTGCAAGCCATGTACACGGGCGCCATCTTACCGGAATGTATGTTGTGAGCACATGCTTGTTTCCCTTCAGAAACAACCGAAGTGACAGAAACAGGCTAAACTGGTTGATCTCATGTGTTCACCTGCTCAGCCTGACGCTGGTCAGTCAGGTGACTCCAGGTGTCTTCATCAGATTCAGCTGAGTGCATTGTTTATATTGACTGTGGACCTGCAGTTCACTAATGCCACTTTTGCACTGCTCCTACTCAGCCCCAACCCTGCTCACATCAGTCTGATTTGCACCACATTTCAGGATGGGTTCTGGAGGCGTGTCCAGAATCCAAAATCCTGCTAATGAACTTTTAATGAACTTTAGTTCACTGAGTGAGAGTTCTGCAATGAGTTAACCTCAAATCAGTCTGCTCCTCAGATATCCATCCATCCATTATCTTTACTCGCTTATTCCATTTTTGGGTCACGGGGGTTGCCGGTGCCCATGTTCAGCAATCACTGTGCGAGGTGCGGGGTACACCCTGGACAGGTCGCAAGTCCATCACAGGGCCACATAGAGACAAACGAGACAAACAACCATTCACTCTCTCACTCACACCTAGGGACAATTTTAGAGTTACCAATCAGCCTAACATGCATGTTTTTGGTCTGTGGGAGGAAACCGGAGTACCCGGAGAAAACCCACGCATGCACGGAGAGAACATGCAAACTCCACCCAGAAAGGCCCCTGGACTGGGGTTTGAACCAAGGACCTGCTCGCTGAGAGGCAGCAGCTCTACCAGTTGCGTCACCATGCTGCCTCCTCAGATATATAATGTTAAATTATTATTTTTAAATAATTATTTTAACTTATTTTATATATGAATATTTCTGTTCAGTGCCCTGAGACAACTTCTGTTGTGACTTGGCACTATATAAATTGAAATAAATCTGATGAACCTGATCCTACAAAAACATTTATATTTAAAATTCCATATTTTTCTTCAATATTTGATGTATTTGCACTCATTTTTGAGATGTGGTTTTGTTTCTTGTATGCAGATTTTATTTTTGTGATTTAAGTGATGATCAGTGATCAGTGTTATTTCTCACCTTACTGACTTTGTCTATAAAATAAGAAAGAAAAAGTTGGCAATCCTCATTTGAAGAGATAGGGACAATCAAACAGTGATTTAAAGTGTAATTCTTGTTTTGTGATTTGTACATGTGTGAGTTAGAATAAAGTTGAACTAGCTCTTCTTTAAATGTTTGACGGAAATATTTGTGAGAGATCCAATTATTTTGTCGTTTTATGATTTTTCAGCTGAGTTAACTTTAATTAAAAGATTATTTAATAACGTCAAAGTGAAAACAGGATTTCATGATAAGTCTGGCACCGTTTATTTATTTTTATGCTTCTCTGATTAAAAAAAAATTTATTCATAAAATGTTTTAAAAAATAATAAAAATGTTTCAACCCTCCGTCCCGGACTCCCGGTCCTCCCACCTGCCAGGGCTCAGGGTCCGGCCTCGCGTGCTTCAATGGGTCGGCAGCTTGTATGATCCTCCGCAGTGACTCCGCTCACTCGAATATTGTCGTCGGTCACCAAACACAAAAAGCGTCTGGACTTCAGCAATAAGCACAGCATTGTCATTATTGTTTTTAAAATCTTAAAAATAAATCCAGACACTGCTCCGCATTCCGAGAAATTGCAAACGGAGAATCTGAGAAAATTTTCTGAGATCCAGTGACTCCTCCCCCTGACCAATCAGTGTCCTGCATTCACGTGTTGGTCCCGACTCAGCTCGTACAATCCCACCAGAGAAGCAGGAACAAAACAAGATTTCGAATCAGCCTCAAATCAGCTAAAAAGTACTGTGGAATAGCAATATTTCCGTGGAGGGCTGAGTAGAGTCGGGGGCTCAGCAGGAGCAGAACAAATGGGGCAATATGCATATCTATAAAACTACTGGAGTAAACTGTTATTTCTACAGGTTAGTCTAATTGAGGGCAGCACAGTGGCACTGGTAGAGCTGCTGCCTCTCAGCGAGCAGGTCCCTGGTTCAAATCCCGGTCTGGGGGCCTTTCTGGGTGGAGTTTGCATGTTCTTTCTGTGCATGCGTGGGTTTTCTCCAGGTACTCTGGTTTCCTCCCACAGACCAAAAACATGCATGTTAGACTGATTGGTAACTCTAAATTGTCCCTAGGTGAGAGAGACCTGTCCAGGGTGTACCCTGCCCCTCACACAGTGATTGCTGGACATGGGCACCGGCGACGCCCATAACCTAAAATGGAAGAAATGGGTAAAGAAGGATGGATAGTCTAATTGAGACTCATTTACAACAGAGACCTGTTTTACACAGCGCCGCGGACCAACTTGATTCATCTGCTGGTATCAAACTTTGCATCGAGCACCTTTGTGTCATGGCAACAGGAGAAAAAAGACCAAGATTCAAAATATGAGCACTGATGCAGCATCCGTGTTTGACTGAAAGTGTTCAGATTCCACAGAGCAGTGAGTGACAGCTGCAGACATTTACATCTACACATTTAAAGTCTGAGACAAACAAAACGGAGCTGCTGACTGTATGAAGCAACATGTCTGATCTGCACAAACAGAAACAAACAACTCTGCCCTTTGTTGCTCATTAAAAGTCTAAACTTTTCCCAGCAATGTGGGACTGCAGCTCAATGAACAACAAACAAACAAAATAAAAGAAGACATGGACCAGACTTCATCTTTGTGTTCAACACGCGTGCAGCCGCCAGATGGCGTAGTTTCCTGCACAATGTGGGGAAGGACAACGGTAAATGGTAAATGGACTGTACTTATTTATATAGCGCCTTTCTATCTTTTCAAGATACTCAAAGCTCTTTACAACAATCTGTACCTCATTTACCCATTCATACAGCACTCTACTAGATCTCTACAAAGCTAATTGAACAAAATCATTCTAAAGAGACTAATCAGAGCTTTATCACATTCATACACTGGGACACACATCAGAGGCTATGAGGGGTTCAGTGTCTTGCCCAGGGACACTTTGGCATGTGACTGCTGGTGGATTTGAACCCCCCCAACTCTTGCATTGAAGGACGACTGCTCTAACCACTCAGACACAGCTGCCCCTAAATAATAATGAAAGCACACACGTGCGCGAATGGAACGTGCATTTATAAGCTCCATTCTGTCAGTCATGCATGAGCAGAAATCTATTGATGAAATCATCTGATTGTTTCCAAGAATCAAACTGATTGAGTTTTTTATTTATTTATTCTGAACCTTTAATATGTCTCCAATCAAATAATTGAGTTTTCAAATTTGATTTTATTCACACACACACACACGCACACACACAGACACACACACACACACACACACACACACACACACACACACACACACA